CAAACCCCACTAACCCTAACCAAACCCCACTAACCCTAACCAAACCCTAACCAAACCCCACTAACCCTAACCAAACCCTAACCAAACCCCACTAACCCTAACCAAACCCTAACCCTGGTCCAGATCACAGGAATACCCGGAGGAGGCAGCAGCCGCCTCACCAACATACAGAAACTGTTCCCAGCAAAACCAGAGCCAGCAGAGCTAAATCAGCCAGCTAACCCTAAACCAGCCCGGAGGAGCTAAACCAACCAGAACAATGAGGACATACCCCCCTAAAAATAAAACAGTTAAAAGAGAAAAAATTGAGTTAAAAAAAGGAAAAAAACTGCCAAAAAGAGCAAAAACTGAGCTAAAAATAATCAAAAGTAACCCAAAAAAATTGGTAAAAAAAACTAAAACAGAGCCCCAAAAAAAAGAAGCAAAAACAGATCTAGAACAAAACAAAAAAGGAGCCAAAAAATAAAAACCAGAGCATTAAAAACAAACAGTTCATCCAAATTTGGGATGAACCGAACAGCAGCTGAACATCTGGAGGAACCAGGAGCTGCTGCCTGATGGGAACATCTGGGGGGACCAGATGGGAACATCTGGGGGGACCAATTTGGAATATCTGGCAGAACCCAGATGGAAAAATCTGTCAGGAACCAGATGGGAACATCTGGAGGCCCAGGAGCTGCTGCCTGGTAGGAAGATCTGGCGGGGCCCAGATTGGAACATCTGGAAGGAACCAGATGGAAACATCTGGGGGGACCAGATGGGAACATCTGACAGGGACCATATGGGAACATATGGAGGGACCTGATGGGAACATGAGGCAGGAACCTGATGGGAACATCTGTGGGAACTGGATAGGAACATCTGGGGGGACCTGATGGGAACATCTGGGGGGAACCAGATGGGAACATCTGGGGGGACCAGATGTAAACATGAAGAAGAGACCTGATGTGAACATCTGGAGGGGGGGTTCTCACCTTGAGGTCGGACACCTCGGTGTAGCACTGCTCGGAGCGCGTGTGGTCGGACAGCTGCACGTTCCAGAAGCAGGGCAGCTGGTGCACCAGCACCGGGTTCTGCTTGATGAAGGCGTTGAAGATGTCCTGCAGACAGACGGGGCAGCTATAAGAACTAAACCAAATCAGCCTCCCTACTCTTACTATTTCAAAATAAAACAGGAAATGACAACAACAGGACCAAACAAAACAAAAGCAGAAGCCCCAAAAACTCCGGAGAAGACAAGAAGAGAAGCTATCAGAACACAGGAGCAGGTGGACAGGACCAGGAAACAAGAGGGGAGCTAGAATTTCTAAATAAAACAGGAAATGACAACAACAGGACCTAACAAAACAAAAGCCCTCAGAAACTCTGGAGAAGACCAGAGGAGACACCAGAAACAAGGAGAGTTACTATTTCAAAATAAAACAGAATATGACAAAAACAGGACCAAACAAAATAAAACCAAAAGCCCCAGAAACTCTGGAGAAGACAAGAAGATAAGCTATCAGAACACAGGAGGGGAACCAGGAGCAGGTGAACAGGACCAGGAAACAATAAGGGAGTTTGGAATTTCAAAATAAAACAGGAAATGAGATGACCAGAACCTAAAAAAATAAAACAAAAGCCCCAGAAACTCTGGAGAAGACCAGAAGAGACACCAGAAACAAGAGGAGTTCCCATTTCAAAATAAAACAGGAAGTGAGAAGACTAAAACCAAACAAAACAAAAGCAAAAGCCCCAGAAACTCTGGAGAAGCTCTCAGAACACAGGAGGGGAACCAGGAGCTGGTGGAACGTACCAGGAAACAAGAGGGGAGTTGGAATTTCAAAATAAAACAGGAAATGAGAAGACCAGGGCCTAGCAAAACCAAACCAAAGCCCCAGAGGTGACACAAAGCTGACGGAGGGTTGTAAGAGGCGGCCGGCGGCGGCGTTCCCGACCTGGTCGGCGAGCGACGTACTGAGCATGCTCATTAGCTCCCTCTCAGCGGTTAGCCGCCACATCTGCTCCCAGCTGATCCTCCGCAGCCGCTCCAGGTGGAGCAGGATGACGCCTGAGAAAAGAGCGGCAGGTAGGGTGGTCAAAAGCATCGATACTCCAAAAAGTATGGATACTAAAACGTTGTATACGATACTCATTTATTTATTTATTTATTTACGTTGTTTATGATCATCAACGTGACGTTAGCCTTGAATTGCTAGCTGCGGCTAATGGCTAATAATAACACGAGTACTGCAGGAAGCTAAAGATGGATGTCCAACTCCCCCACATCCAAGTCGGCCATTTTGATAAGGTCACAAATACGAAGATCCCAGGAGAGAAAATGGTAATTGCCTCATGGTAATATAGACATTAATTTAAAAATAGTGAAATGAATCCTGCAAACACTGAATTAAACTCTATCCATAATATTATGTTAAAATAGTGGATGTTAAATAGGTTTGTAAAATAAGTCCAAACAAGTTTAACCAAAAGATACTTATTTTTTAAGGGTTTTTAAGGGAGGGGTAAGGGTCAGGGTTAGGGTTAGGGTCATTAATGCGGGCCACCGGCCACGATAACATCAGTAACAGGTGAGTTCTCACCTGTGTTGAAGCCTCTCCCCAGAGCGGGCCACGGCTTGTGGTTCTTCCACAGGTTCCCCAGGTACCAGTCGCTCTGGTTCTCCACCAGCCCGATCACCTGCTTATCTGCACAGACGCAGGCAAAGGTTTCAATAAAACATTTTAAAAATGTCACTTCACTTTGCTAACACCCTTTGGAGTCATTTGTTTTTTATCTTTTCGCGGTTATTTTATATCTTTGTGATGTATTGTGAGTCTTTTTTTGCCTTTTTGCACAGATATTGTGTATTTTCTTGAGTCTTTGTGTCTGTGTTGCTTGTTTTGTATAATTTCCTGGTTATTTTTTGCCTTTGTGAGGTAATTTCTTGCCTTTTTGCAGACATATTGTGTCGTTGTTCTTGTGTTTTTTTAGCCTAGTTTGCTTGTTTTGTATCTTTTTGTTTTTATTTTTTATGTTTTTATTTTATGTCTTTTGTGAGTCTTTGTAATGTTATTTTGCCTTTTTGCACATACATAATGTGTCTTTCTTCTTGTGTGTTTTTGTTTGGCTCGTTTTGGTGTCAGAGTTTCAATAAACTTCTTTTTAAAAAAGTCACTTCACTTTGCTAACAGACTTTGGAGTCGTAGTGTTTCTTTTTCTGACGTTTTTGTGTCCGATGAGCCTCTGTTTGCTTATTTAGTATCTTTTTGTGGTTATTTTATGTCTTTGTGATGTTTTATGAGTCTTTAATTGCTCATATATTGTGTATTTGTCTTGTGAAAGGAGAAGGAGCTGCTGCTGGAGAAGCTTCATGACGGAGGAGGAAGCAGCTCAGAGCAGAGAGGAAACATTAAGCTGCAGAACAAACTAACTTTTTCTGAACTTTTACTGAATCTGGACGTAAAAAAATGTGCATCTTCTCTGTTTTGTTCCATCAGTTTTCTGTTCTCCTTCTAGCAAACCAATATTTCGTCAGATGTTTTGTCAGAGTTTGTGGGTCCTTGTGGTTCCCCGGGACAGAACTCCTCACCTGTGAACTTCCTGAAGATGCCCCACAGCTCGGCGATGTCCGTGGCGAAGGTGATGTCCGTGTCCAGGACGATGACCTTGGACAGGTCGGCGGGCAGCGCTTTGGTCAGCGTCAGCTTCATCAAGCCGTAAATACCTGAGTAGTGCTTGTTGGGTATCCAGGACACCTCCGACTGAAAGAGAACCGGGCAGACATGGGCGGGCGAGTCTGGCGGGCCTCCCGGAGCGGCCCCATACACGGGAGCCGGGCTCCGAGCGTGGGCAAGCACAAAGACACATTCTGCACATTCTGGCAAAGACGCGCCGACTTTTTCTGCTTTTTTTTTCTCCCCTTTCTCTGAAACCTGCAAACAGTGCCTTTTAATTAATTCTCTTGATTCAGAGTAATTGGATCTGCATAAGTGCATCATCTGCAAATATAATGGGCTTAGAGTCGCGGCTGTTTTTCTCCACTTTAATGCGAGTTAATGGAAAGTGAAGAGAGGCTGCAGGTCGCAGCGTCTGACAGCACAAAGGACTCATTGTTCCGCACAAAGCGGAGTGGGAGGAGAATGTGATGATGTGAGGCTGGGAAACACAAACACCGATTCACGCCCGTCACTCGTAAAGCGCATTCATCAACCTGGCGAGGCGCTCCAGTGTCACTTGTCCGGCTCAATTAGCCGCCGTCTCTGTCACAATGACACCAAAGTCCAAAGAAGTTGGATATTAGCTGCAACTGCAACCTGCTCTCCGGCTGTTTGTACACACAGAGGATTTAATGAGAGGATTCCCGCCTCCGTCGGCCCTCTGAAGGCGGACCCTCTCCGGTTAATGGCCGCCGTTCTGTCAACACAGTGATCGGTCTATGGCGCACAGCTGGCGCTCTTCCACTCGACTTTAAGGTTTCCCGACGGGCGCCAGCTCCCGGTTCTGCTCCTGTTCCGTCAGGTTAAAGCCGGCAGAGCGGAGCTGGAAATTAGATGTGTACCGACAGCCAGCCTCTGATTGGCCAGGGACTTAAATCCCTTCAATATACCCAGATTATACCCAGCCTCTACAGAACGATCTGAATCTTTACTACTCAACCAACAAACAGGGAAAACAATAACCCATCAAAGAGCAGGTGAACACAAAACCGGGATTAGCTGATGGAAAACCGGCCAATGAGGAGACAGATGACCCCCACAGAGTCCAAAATAACTCATTTAATGCAGCTACAACCAAAATTCACTGAACTCCCACCAAAATAAAAGCCCAAAGTCATGCCTCATGTTCAACAAACACCTTCAGAAATCCTGCCTTACCTTTGCTGTTCTGCTTCCAAAGCTGATAAATTCTACATCAAAGGGAACAACTCCACCCCCAGAATGTTTTGCAATGTAAAACCAGCGTTTCCTGCTCGGTTCAGCTAATTACAGAAATCGGATTGGACCAAGACCAGTTTCTGGTGGTCTGGATGTTTAGACTAAAAAAGCTGCCTCTTTAACCTGAATTTTATCTAAATTTACATCAATTTAAACTCAACTTTTTATTGTATTTTAATGAGCATGTTGTTATACTTTTAGCTGCACATAATGCAAAACGTTATTTATGTTTGATTTTTACTGCACAAACTATAACAGGAAGTCAGACTGATGGATGAAGATCAGCATAGAGGGCTTTATTTTAGGATCTATACCGACAGACTCTGTAGCTTAAAGAGTGAGAGCAGCCTGTTTTTGTTGTGTTGTTATTTGTCTTTGACAGACATTTCCAGGTTTGAGTTATGCTAAACGTGGAGCTGAACTGCTGGCCCTCCTTATGGAATTTAAAAACAGCCATCAAACAGAAGCTTGACTCCAGGTTACATTAAATAAGATCAAACAGGAACAGAAACATGCTGCTGGTGTCCTGATCTCCTGCTAAATGGAGCAAACACATCTGGCTGCAGACTGCAGGAAGCCAAGGATGGATGTCCAACTCCGCCCACATGCAAGTCGGCCATTTTGATTAGGTCAACAATAGGAAGATCCCAGGTTAGGGTTAGGGTCAGGGTTAGGACATCGTTTATCCTCTGATTTCGTATAGACAGTGAAGTTTTGTTTCCACCTCAGAAAGCTGCTAGTCACATGACTTAATCAAAACGGCCGCCTTGGATGTGGGAGGAGTCTGACACCCAGCTGAGGCTCCTACAGGCTGCAGCCATTGGCTGCTCTAATGGAGGCCTCTGACTCTGAGTGTCCCCCTCTGCTCTGGCTGGGATGTGTCAGGTTAGGGTTAGGGTCAGGGACTGAGGGTTAGGGACTGAGGGTTAGGGTTAGGGACTGAGGGTTAGGGTTA